GATGGGAGAGAGGCAAAGGGTAGACATCAACGCCTTCAATAGCGGCAGCAGAGCCATGGCCATTTTACCTCTACTTACCCTAGGTCTCTCTCCTGTATTCTCAGCTGTTTCTGAGCACAGTGGGATGGCCCTCCCCAGACGTTCAGGTAGACACCTAGACATCCAGGCATGTTCAGCATGCAGTGCAAAACCGGCTGCAGCACTGCTCTGCAAACAGACTGCAGAGACCCCACTGCCAGAAAGTGAGAGGTGGACATCAGGGAATTTGGTGCTCAGCGTATGCAACTTGACAGCCCCAAAGTTTGGAGTATGACATTCAGTTTTTGCTATCAACACTGCTAGTGCAGTGACAATTTCCAAGAAGTGTTAGCCAGTGCAAAATATAAATATTATTATGGCAGACAGTAGCATTAAATAGCTGAAGCAAACATTAACATCAAACTCTTATTTGTCTCAAAGGTCCATACCTGTTCTATAATAATAGAACTGAAGGCCTATAAAATATATTTATCACTATTTTCCTCTAGTTTAAATATTTCATCTTCTAGATAAAGGAAGAGAACCAGTAATATATGATCTTGCGTGCAATATGAAGTTCGATTAATTATCTAAAAGCCTCGCTCTAAACAGTTTCACAGATACTGAGGAATAAGAAATGTTGGGAGAAAATACATGTTTAATATCTGTTATTTACATGCTTTTAAATGCAAAAACAAATGCTGAACAGTTACAGTATCATACACTGTGGCTGAAAAGGAAATCTCTGCGCTCTAATTGGCATTGGTCTTAGGGCAATGTTGCTTCCTCTTATTGAAAGTTGGAAACAGGTTAGGATTTTTTTTTTCTTCTGCTAGAAATTGCCAGAGCAATATCAAAGCACAGACAGGAAAGACCAAGTTCTGCTCTGACAGATGGAAGGAAAGGCACATGAAAATTCAGAAAGAAATATGGACAGTGAAGTGGGAAAAGAGGAACTGAAAGCAGTACTCTATAATTTAGTATTGTATTTATCCAGCATCTTGTCAAAAATTCAACTGCTATTTCCCTTGGCATTACCTCTGTTCAATCTCCTCATTCTCCATGCTGTCTTCTTAAGCGTTTGAGCTGTATTCTTCTCTTTCTCCCTTCCATCAATATGTTTTTGCCTTTGTGATATTGCCTTTCTTCTCCAATATATTTTCCTTTCTCCTATCCATCTTCCATCCCAGCTTCTGCTAACCGTTATGTCCATTCCATTTGTAATTCTATCATCAATCACCTCTTACAGAACAGGATTTGCTCTTCTCTGTATAGAGCTGAAGAGAGCATTCTAAAGCATGAGTGGGTCAAAAAGATAATTTTAAAGTGAGATTTTTGCAAATATATGCAACTCAATTTCCTACTGAAATGCTCTGAAATGAGATAATGAAAGGAAAATTGAGTTTCTGATTTTCTTGCCATTGTTTCTGCATGGTGTGTACAGAAAGGATGTAAAGAGCTTTTGTTTTTCTTTGCACCTAAAGAAGATAGATTTTTTACTTTTTTTTTTTAATATCAGAAATTTCATCCTTGCTCTGGAAGACTCAGTGGATGACCGAAGAACAAGTGGGAAGTTAATTGCAAAAAGCAATGAAATAAAACCAAGGCAATTAAAATATATAAATACATTAAGCCACATTGTTTGCAGATCATGGTTGCTTTGTATTTTCCATACAAATTGGACTAAAAAACCTCTGACAAATTCATCAGAAAAAAAGCTCTATGTTAACTTCCGGTCACAACCAGCAACCAAAGTAATATTCCAACTCAAGTCCTCTAAGCCTTTAGGGGAAAGATATTCTCTCATTGTTACAGTACATATACAGTATATACTGTACTGTTCTCCTAGAGAATTACATAGAATTTCTTAGTTGCACATATTTTCTGGTTTTATTAATTCATTTTGTCTTTCTTTTCCTTTATTGTGATCATAAGAAATTCACTTTATTTCATATTACATATCTGTCACAATATTAAGAAGTCCATTGTCTTCGGGATTCCTCTGGACATTTTCTCAGTTCTCACTACCACTGTGTATTCATCCATTTGGTACGTGTGTCTGTGTTTTGTTCATTTAACAAGGTACGTGCTTGAGTCAGGCATTTACATATATGCCTTTAATCATCATTCTGTTGTAACTTTCGTGCTGGATACACAATATCTTCTCTAATTTGTCTTCCCTATTTTGTTCGACACAAAATAGAACAATACAGTTTGAGAATCTTTAATTTTCAATTGGAAATGTCATGAGGCTGACGTGATGCTGTGAAAATGTGGACCATATACCTAACATGTATTTGTGCCAATTGTTTTGTGACATGTCGTGTCAATTACTATAGAAAGAAATTTATTAATTAGAGTGAATTTTCAGCACTGCTGCTATTCACTGTTAGTAAACTTTCTTTTGTTTCTCAAATTTTACTTTCCAATAGAGAGCAGAAACATTATCATTTGATATTGGTAGCCAGTGTTAATGTTGGTGAAGATCAATATTTAGAGTAAATGGCTCAATTATTCTTTTCCATTCCCTTCTCCTTTTCCTTGAACAACTATAAGAAAACAAGAAAAGTAATTATGGTAACTATGATCAGTCTTTAAATGGTTCTATCCCTAATATTTCATGATACTCTTGGGAGTTTAGTATCTTTGTCAAATGTAATTTCATAATATCCTGTCAAATATTATTGAAATCAAA